TCACCCCATTAGGGGATCAGGGAAGGGAACCATCATCCAGTGTTGTGATGGGATTAGAAATTGTGTCTCGAGGGCGGATTTTGAATCGTCAATTTCTTTCGGTGACCTCCTCTCTCCAATTACCCATGTGTATAAGGACCCAGACCGGATAATGCTAGACTGAAGGCACCCCGAGCGTAACCCACCGTTAGAAAACATATTTTCCAATCCAAGGTTCAGTTAATATAGCGAGCAAATATAACCCTTGAACTCGATCTTTTTTCTTTTTTGTTTTCTTGACGATTAACTGATGATTGATGGGGTCTACATTTGATGTCTCCAAATCCTCGGGCCGTATGCTCTGGATGTATGGTAAGCATTGCACGGCTCATACAGAGATGGGTTCATTACAAAACTTTGCCAAAGGCGTCGTGATAGTGTCCTGGGTTCTTAGTAAAAAGAGATCTATGTTACCTTCTATGTTTCATGATTGACCCTGGAGTGTGGACCCCCAACCAACCAACCCACTGAATATAGACGCCAATGTCGACCAGTTTCTCCCATGCATGTATCGCACCAGTACTAATCGGCAACCATGGCCTGGAGCGAGAAGTATTGAATACATGCCACCGATACCTATATAGTCAATGCAGATAGATGGAGATACGAAGGGCATCCACCCATAGCCCTCAGAGCTCCCAGAATATGGCGCTCGTCTTGCAATTGAACGGGAAGCAAATGAGCGACAGTACCCAAAAATAAAGGAGTGGGACTCGCATCAGAAGGGATGACTACCTTTTCATTTTTCCAATCCTTTCGATTCCTTCCCATCCTCTAATCCTCGGACCCCAACAAATACCAACCGCCCTTTGCCCATTATTACTTCCACCTATACTGCATTGGTCCTTCCCTTTATTCGATGGCCCATTTGTATATTATATGCACCTCTACTATTTTCCCTGTTGACTCCAACTTTGCTTTCTACCTCGGTAATACTATTAGTCAATTATCGTATTTTTTTTTGGAAACTATTCCATTGCCAATGAAGTTTGGATTTCTTAGTCCATCCGGGCGCGACCGATGCCGTTCAGGCCGGGAATGCAGAAACATAGAGAAACCTCTGATCAACCCTGCAAATGATTCTAGGAGGGCCACAAAGCTAATTCGTTCGTAGTTAACTAAGCTCGTCCATGTTATGCTCAGATGGTGAATTGCGGCCTAAAGTTTTCGAGTGATAATTTGTGACAAACTCACTGTTCGATTGGCTCGGAATTTTGGAGGTGGGGGGGGAGGAGGTGCGTCTCAGTATGTGTGGGGTAACGGTCTGGGGTGTAGCATAGGTGATCCCCGTATAGAGGGCACGGCCTAGCTGGTGGGCCTGGTGCCATACATACCCAGGGACCCAGCTTAACAGGGAAATGCCTTACAGGAGGGCTTTGATGCTTCCGCATAAATTAAGCTCCAAAGTCTGAGGCATGGTTCACCCCAGCTTAATTCCTAGGAAAGGACAAGGCCATACTAGATATAGATTCCATGCTCTAATCCACAGTATACAGTACAAAAATTTGATGATAATAGGAGGTATAATGCGAGACTGGGGCTGGCGAGCCGGGCTTGTGGATAGGGAAAGTTGGAATGGTGCGAAGCGCGTAAAAGTTGTATCAGGGGGGGTGAATTTTTGTAAGGCCTGTATTCACTCTGGGTTAAGGGCTTTAAATTAGAGAGTTGTAGTCTCTATTACAGTCCTTCAGTTGGCCATCGTGATGTTTAACTTTTAGATTGAATGTGGAATCGTTTCGACTGGATAAGTGATCTGGAAAATAAAGATAAAAAAATGGAAAAGGTGGAAATAAAGGTCAACTTTGAGAAATAATAAAAACTATGGTTCTGGAAGACAAGAGTTGGGACTACTTTTCTTACAAAAAGTGATAGTTACAGATACAATAGTAACTGTTATGCAGTTATTAATATGAATTATATTCTGTTATTCTTCTTCGAATATTTTGACTCAACTGGTTACAAATATAGTATAAAAAGATACTAACTTTTAATTATAGAAGGTTAAAATCACTTAAGAATACCTCTGGATAATATTTAAAAATTAACTTGATAGAAAGATAAGCAACAGCTTCAGGAACTATGTAAACAAGTACATAAAAGGTGCTGGTATAACTACTAGTGAGCTTGAGCATACAGTGTTACATGGCTGCAAAAGTGTTCAGCAAAGTTGGGCTCGCGGTAGTGGACTAGATAAAATATAATCATAGGAGGCTGTATAAGTTAAAACCTGATTATTGGGCTTTTTTGAAAAGTGCAGGAAAATGTATTGTATATTTACGAAATTTTCAGTTTTTTGGACATAAAACATACTACAGCGGTCATCTGAAGTTCTAAAATATTTTCTGAGCTACTATACACCTACTTTACATAACTAGCTAAGTAGTTAAGCAAAAATAAATGTTTTGTAGTTGAGGCCCGATAATCAGGTTTTAACTTATACAGGCTCATATATTAATAAAGCACTGTTATTTATTTTAGAATAGGATAATATCAGATCACTATTTTATTTTAATGTTTATACAATGACATATGGAATACAATTAACAGATTCTAGATAGGGTAATTGTAAACTGGTTCTCTCTTTATTTTGTTTTTTTCTTGTCAAAATAAATCTGATTGCCAAATAGCATGAACATAAACATTATAGTTACTATTATATCTGTAACTATCACAACTTTTCGTCAGAAAAGTAGTTACAACTCTTGTTGTCTGAAACCATATATTGGATATTCAAGTTAGCAAGTTTTATTGTTACATCTATTTAGCCACTAGCATTTAAACCTATTGAATTCTAGGTATTGCAGAGTAGCCTCCTTCTGGTACATGTCTGTGTACAGGTATTATATATACTAGTAGAAAGATGTTCTCATACATGACAAGTATTATTTTACTAGTTAACTATTTCTGTCATGTACAAAAACATATTCCTAGACATGATGACAGCTTTAATTCAGCCTTGTGTATATTTTAAAGTGTCTATAACATTACTGTCTGTTCCATTGATAAATTCCTCCTAGGTTTCTCATACCTTTTACCATATCTTGTATCATGTCAAGGTTCCTACCACTTTGAATAATGCTATATAGTTTTCAAAGTAGGTGGCACTCTCCTAGAGTGCCATACAGCTTAATGATAGTCATAGCCCAACAATGAATTTATTGTATATAATATGAAAAGTTTATAAGAAAGTATCCAATTTCCTACCAAACAAGACTCTGAAGCCTTTGCCATTTAAATTTTTCTTTTACTTTCTTCCTTATCAGTTTAGAAATTTTTTTTTAATATTTCTTAACCTTATTATCTACTGCTTTCTGTACAATGTTAAGTAAATGCTATGTACTATTCTGAAGTTCTTTTTCTACACTTTCATGTTTCTTTTGAAGAATCATTGCAAAGGGTTCAAGTTCATATGCATACAAGACTCCTTCCTTTTAGAGTGATTATTAGAACTATTTTTGTCATGAGGTGTGAGCAAGTTCTGTAGCTTTTCTATTATCAAGCTTATTTAAGGCAAGCATACTACTTTACATCTAGACCAAGCTACTCTTTATATATTTCTGAATACTGTGCATCAAGGTTAGAGAAAGCTCACAGAGACTAGTATGAACATGTAGGGAGTCTGCATGGTGCTTAAGAGAATGAATTATCTGAGGTATTAATAGTAGGTTGTAGTTTTCATACTCTGGACCAGAGAATAGTATTTGAGTTATTTCTTCTTAACTTCCTGAATACAAGCAAGTTTATTAAAAACAATAGTAGAATTGAATAAGATTCGGCCGGTTTTCTTAAAATCTGATAAAATAGCAGTAGGCTTAAAAGTCTGAGACCAGATAGACTCAATTGCATTAAAAAAATTGGTCTTGTTAAACTCCAACCATTCAGTTCTTCAAGTTGTGGCTGAATCTAATATATCTGTGTAGTAGTACTTGCAGGACTGTAAGACCACTATGTCTAGCACTTGTAAAAGATGTGTGTGGTGAAGTAGGAAGAAGAAGAGCATAATCTTTCTGTTATCATAATATGTGATAAACTCACAAGTACAATATGAGTTATGTCTATCAAGGAGAAGTAATCTCAAGGCCCCTATCAGTGTACAACAAATAATGAAAAGGCGATTAAAATACATGATCTAGTTTATAGTTAACTTGTTGTTTGATTAACTAATATCAGAAATGCTGACAAGAAAGGTATCCCCAATCTTGGTTTTTGTATACCAGTCTTCCATATCCTAGGATATAGTACTAAATATGATAAGTATGGGAGATAAGACTACTCCATTACTGATTATAGACTCTATTACAGTAACTAACTTTCAATTATCAGAGCTTGCAAGTGAGAGATAATGATAGGATTTCAGAGTAATGACTAACTGGTCTCTTCCAATTCTATCTGAAACCTGGTCTCATCAAAGCTATTGGTATCCTTATCAAGAATACTTTTTTCTTTAATTTTTTTGAATCTCTCAAACTACTCCTACTGCTGCTCAGGATTATAAGAGCACTTCTACTTAATATTAAGAGTTTTTTGTTTTCAGATATTATACTGTGATTGATATTTGAAGGAGTATCAGGTCCACATCCAACTTACTATAGGTAGTAGAAGTAACACATTATTATAGAAGGCAAAACAAGATTGAGTTTGTACAGGAACTGATATTTTGATACTAGGTTGCGATACCAATCTCATTAAGTTAATTAAGATACTGGCCATGGACAAGCTCTTGATCCACAGTGAGTTTCTGATTCGTAGTGATCCTTTCTGAACATGATTGGTATTCTTTTCACCATTCACGAAGGTGTTATTTAAATAAATCAAATTAATAAGTTAGAGCTGCAATATTTGATCTATCCTGATTGGCAATGTGGCCAATTATATACTGGATCTGTGCCTCTTTATCAATATATTTTTGTGCTTGTATGATGGTCATCGGATAGGATAGATCCAGCAAATAAGTAATGAGTAAGGGTTTTCTAATGATTCTATTGTTGAACTGTGACTACCATTGAGCTATGTGGCACTCCAGGAGAATGCTACCTAGTTTGAAGATTACTTAGCATCATTTGAAGTGGTGGGAACCTTGGTACAGTTATCCGATAGTCTGTTGCAAAAGTGACCCACTTTCAGCATTCCGGAGACCAGGGGTGTCCATGCATAAGCGTGAGGAAAATTACTACAATACGGTGAATATTGTTTCTAGAACCTTACCCTCAGATGTCGTGGTATCGAAAACCGCAATCTCTCTGGAGAGTGGGCCACTTTCAGTGCATACCTAGCTTTGCTCACTGAGTTGCCCGGATAGCTATTAACTAGGGTTTAGGTCTTAGGTATCAACCAACAGGTCCAAATGGTATAAATATGATGGTAGGCAAAATGGTTTGGTGCGCTTCGCAGGCGTCCCATTTTGATTAGAGCCCTTCTTGGAGTGGCCCATTACAAGCTATCGGATAACAGGAGATCCTGTTTCTTTTTACCCGACCGCTCCCTACGGCACCACCTTAGCCTCGTCCTTCTGCCAGAACCCCCCGCCGGAGCCCTTCTCCTCGTCCTTCTGCCAGAGCCCCCCGCCGGAGCCCTTCTCCTCGTCCTTCGGCCGTATCTTCCGGTTCATGTACTTCCGCCAGAACCCCAACCCCACGGCCCCTGCACCCCCGCCACGGCCCTGCCCCTTGTCTTTCGGTGGTATCCTCCGACCCTCATCCTTCCGTCGTAGCCGCCGCTCCCATAACCAAAAAGAGGTTACAGTTACTGCCGTAAGTGCCACGACTGTCACGCCGAATATCCAGGCCTGTGCCGCAACAGTGAACGTATAGACCTTTTTTTCGTGCACAAATTCGATGTCCGAGTGGAAGACATTCATTCCAAACATGGTCTGAGGGGGTGGGTCAGTATGTGCTGTGGAAGTCTCGGGGAACTGGAGCACTTGCAGCGACGAATGTCCCGGGGAGGTAGAGAGTGGCAAGCATGGTTGCCACTCTCATTGTCCTCGAGTCACGTTTTGTGAGATCAGCGAATGCTACCATGGTTTGGGTGTCTTTCTGGTTACCCTCTGCCATGGCAACTAGGGTTCCGGTGGCACATCTCTGAGTCCTTGCTATGTCGACTAGGGTTCCGGTGGCGGTTCTCTGAGTCTGTGCCGTATTGACGAGGTCTCCGACCGCCATTGTGTGGTTATGGATGAGAGTATCATTCCTAATTTCAAATTGTGCTTGGATCTTGGGCGCGTCAGTCTTAATTTTGCGAGGCGGAAGGAGAGCATCAACTCACAAGCTGAACTGCGTTACTAGTCTTTTCGAGCATCCGTTCTGTATCCCTTAGGAGATCTCGTAATACGGAAGTATTATGCTCGAGTATGTCGGATGCATCCTTGTAAGCTGCATCACTAAGCAGCCCGACGGATTGTAATCCAATTACATGCGCTTGCAGCCCCTCCAACACATTGATGTTCAAACTGAAGTTTGATATGGTGTTCAGGAGTTTGTCACGAAATTGTCGCTGGAGCTTCCGAAGGTGCGAATAGCGTGTTTTAAGGTCCGCCTTGCCAGTCCTGCACTTCTCCCATTCCTCGTCGGTCAAGTAGACACATTTTCCCTGTTTGAAGATTGTTAGTGCTCGTGCAGAGTTTTGGGCTTGCGAACGTTGTGAGAACTAACGCAGTCTATGAGCTCAGACTCCAAGTCACCAACGTAGGATCGCCAATTTTGCATTGCGGTCGTGACGAAGCCAAGAGGTAGCGATACAGGGCTTAGGTGCTCCGATTCTTGGCTAAATCTCCCTCTGGTTAGGGCTTCGGCGAGGCGGGATTTCACACTCTCCGGGGGCATGATGTGAATACAGACGGACGAGTCATCTTCGTAGTCAAATCTTTGGTAGCAACCAAACTGGCGGACCGACCAGGGGTCACGGCCCAGCTCATCGGTGTCCGGTCTGCCGTGTTTTTCAACATGAGCCATTCGGATGCAGATCTCTGATGGTGGGGGTGTTAGTGCGGGAGACTCCTGTGCTGGCTTGGAGGAGAGAATACCGGAGATGTAAGCGTTGGGGTGTGTCCCCTTTGCCTTGAGCAGGCGTCGGAACACATCCGAGGATGGTATCCACTCCCGGCGCCGGCGCCCGAAAATATGAACTAGGCGTAGGAAGTCCGGGGAAACCTTATAGAATGTCAAGAGCTTTTGTAGCATTTCTTCTGTTATCGGTAGCTTGGCCCATGAGAAACTCGGTGTGATTGTGCTGGTGAGCGTCAATTTCCACGCAAACACACTCAATTTTTGGGACTGATCCTTCTTTCTGCCTGGAGGACCTACAAGCATCTGAAATGGAATCTTCTATCGTCCTGTAGGGGGTGGTTAGCGAGGGGCGCTGGAACTTGATGGGTTGACTTACCGTTAAAATCTCCTCGAATAAATCACTCGTGGCTTCTCGCTGGATTAAGGGTGCTGCTCCCGGAATTCTCGGTTAGCCAGATACAAAGGTCTGGAAAAAGTAACCCGTGGCATACAATTAGGATCGGGGGCTTCGAGGACGTCCAGTACCCCCAACGAAGCACGCTCAGGGCCATAAAACAGCCGCTCAGAGTCGTTGCGCAAGTTCTCCAAGAACACGCTCCCATCCCGACCTAGGGTATTGTGATCCGTTAACATAAGGGGATATTTCTCCCATCCTTGGAAGCTCGGGGCCTGAGCTTTGGCGGTTTTGCTCTGTTGGCTAGCGATTGGCAATCCAGCCTGAGTCGGGGCTAGTTGAGGAGGGAGATTCTTGCAGGAGGGAGGAATCATTGGGATTGAGGATGAAGGAGCCATGGAAAAACGATGATCCCGCAAAGAAAGATGAGGGGGGAAGTTTTGGTGCATCCCGTAGATATACTAAATTCCCAGCCGACCACCACACCAGTTGCTGTTACACCAATTGCCAGCAGGGGTCCCAAGCCGCACCTTACTTGAGCGACATGCACACCCGGGTCTCCCATATCCAGCGGAATACGTACCAGTACCGGTAATGTAAGGCTGGATCTTGCAAAGGGCGCCGATGCCTCATGGACAGGGGAGAAGGAATCGAACGAGTGCTGTACGAGTAACATACAAGTACGGTACAAGTACTGAGGGATGAAGGTGGGATATAGGACGGCCGGGGATTCTGGAGTCCTTACCGTTCTTGCCCTCACACCTCACAGGAAATACAAGAATAATTCTGGCATGAGAATTGCTCCAACTCACGTTAGGACTGAGGGTGCGGCCGATAGATAGAATAGTGACGTGGGTCTGATGGGGGGCGTATTGCAGCGAGGATAGGGAGGTTTTGCTAAGCCTGTCATCATTGAACTGACAGTATCGCCAGTGTTGACAACGGTTCTTAACTGAGGCTAACACCGAGAGGTTTTGTTAGCGGGTGTATTTACGTGGACTAGATTACAGGTTACAGGCAACAAGTATCCGAACATGGGAGTGGAGGGAAAGAAGATCGAGAGAAGAGGGGGTGGGGGAGATTTTGGACGGATTGAATGGTACAAGTATGGTTGGAGAGTTGAGGAGAAGCGCAGATATCATACTTTAGTTTAGTTTAGAGAGCGCAAAATGGAAATGTATCCGAACATGAGACATTTATAATATACGGCGCACAGACAAATAATCATTGTCTCATGTTCGGATAAGTCTTACCTGTTGTATGGTGTGGTTTTTTACTGGAAGGTGGGTGGAAAATTTGCTCCCCTGCAACGCTTGCTCAACTGCAGTTGGCAGTGAGGAAAACCTTGCTGCAACATGCATAACCCATCACAAAGTAGGCGCAGTTGGAACGGCGACCGTCGCATCAAAATCTCCCTCATGGAGGACTTCACGGAGGAATCTGGAAGGGATTTGGAAAGGATCTTGGTATGTTTTCACACTAAAATCTGGAAAATCAACTTCTACGGTGCTCGTTGATTGTGGATTTTCTAAAAACCCCCTACCCCCTTGGCCTAGATTTGAAACGTTTGGAATTTGTCCCCATGGGAATGCCCTGCGATCCAGATCCTCCAAATTCCCGCGGGAAGCCCTCCAATATACGGTATTCTCGCTGCAATGTCTTATCGGGGACCCACGTGACTATCTGATCTATCAGCTGCGCCCGTTACTCGTAGTGAACCAGCACGTTCAGTGGTGGCTCAGTCTTCTGTTCTCAACGGCGACACGAACAACTCCCCACACCTCACCTTAAGTTCAGCCCACGTCGTGGTTTCCACTTCGCTGCTGTGCTCGGCCCCTCCATCAACGCCCACCATTCACGGACTTTTACTCTCACAGGGTGGGCTCGTCCCTCGTGGCATGGGTTGGGTGGCTGTTTGGGCTGGGTGAGGCCGGTGCCCCATGCTGCAAGTCTGTCGAGGTGATAAATTGGGCGGGTGTGAAGTTGATTGAGAACGGAAAACTTGCCCATAGTGATCTACGAGTGCGGCCGATAGATATATTCGTCACGTGAGTCTGATAAGAAAGTTTCGGTGCACATTTTGGCTGCGATTTGTCCTTAGATAAGGCACGTGACGAATATATTTATCGGCCGCACTCGTACACTTGGATGGGGGGAGCTACTTAGATTTAGGACTGGTAGATTCGCTCCTCTACCGCACTTCGCACCTTGCAGTAGCAGCTCGACTCGTATTCGCCTGATTTTTGTAAAATAGCCTGACCGTGCATGCCGCCTGAGATTCCGAGGTTCAGAGCGAATTTCGTTGGCTGGATGGAATACGGTAGCAGTCCATTTTTGCAAACTTGAGGGGGTCGTGATAGCAAGTGCCGACAGTGGACGCCTTGTGCAGTGGAGGAAAACGTTTGTGTAGAGGTAGGAATGGATGTATTGAACAAGTGGTCTCCGACCACTTGTTCTCTACATACAGGAAGAGAAAACATCAGTGACTGCCATCCAAACCCTCAGAACAGGAAGAAAACACACATAACAACAGTCACCGCCCTGCTATACAGAACATGATATGCCCTCCGGCTGAACCCTTGCATCCTGCCCACAACCACCTGAGATTCCATCTCCATCAGATCGTGGGTAGATGGAAGTCTCCCGAAGCAAGCGGGGCTCGGGAGCTGGCTGCCTTGATTGTGGGAGGGGGAATGTGCCATTCAAGGAAGCACCTGGAAGATATCAAATAGGTCTGATTCTACGGTGCGGAGTCCCAATATCCACCAATAATAATACTTCCTCGCCCCAATATATAGGCAGTAGTCGTCACGGGTTTTAATGCTCTCGCTTCCGCTCATGGGTACCTGGAGTGCCACCTTGCTGTATTCCTCGTAGTTCCCTTGGGTCTGGTTGCTGTTTGCGGAAGAAAACCTGTTAGGTGGCATGGTAGTGGTTGGTTAAAGTGGTAGCCTACGAGTATGGTACCCTTAAACCCCACAGTCTAGCGGTGGGCCGGGAGGTGTTGAGCGAAGTCTCAGCCCGGAACGTGCGATAAGATATCACCCAGAGAGGATTTCTGAGCAGGGGGGGGGTCAGATCGGTACTTTACCGAAAAGCCACTTTCCAGCTGCGAAATGCCAGGGTTATGCTACAGACTCGCCCCGGGGGGCTGTGTGGGGAACCTGGAAACGGGTGTGGTATGATATCATACTCGTAAATTTCAGCGGATCTGCAGATTACCCCACGCTCCAAGCCTTCGTACGACTCAGCGTATTTCGCAGCCTGAGATGCGTGAATTTACTGTGTCTGACTTCCCGATAGAGCTCTAGAAACGACTCAGCCTCGGACGCGAGCACCCCTTGTAGCTACTGTACTACTGTATTATTTGGCCAAATTGGCTATCACCGCCGCCCAGGGAGGGTTGATCTCGTGATATCTCTCGGAGCAGCCTGGACTAGCTCATGGGTGACTATTGGCAATAAGAATGGAAGGTTGTTCGAAGTTAGATCGGAGACTTTGAAAAATTTCTCGCCAAGAGCCATATCCTAGGGATCAAGCTGATTTAGGAATACCGTAAAAACTTGAATAAATTAGTCTTGTGGTATCCCTTCGTCTGTTTTCAAGCACAGGGCTAACTCTGGGACTACGTGGACCTTAAAATTTTCTTGCCACCCCTATCATAATTAGTAAGCAATATGATTGTTGGTTACTAGAAACTCGCAAGAGTGCATTCTCCAGAATTCCTGTTACAAGAAGTATGCTGAGAACAAATGAGAACTACTCGTACAGCAGTAACCTAAAGCATGCGCTGTCTCAGATGATGTGAGGATTGACATAATTTCCAAAAATTAAGCGGTCTAAGAGATAATGGTTGCAACCATCTCACCAAAATGGGCATTGGAGGACCACATTCCGCACTCACTAAAATCACTAAGGGCCCGGTTGGCATGCCAGGATTTGGACTTAAAATTCGGATTGTCTCCTAAGTCTGGACTTTCAGTCTAATCCTGGTTGGCAGGTCGGAAGTTGGATTAGATTTTCATGAGAAGATCAGATCAGGATTTGAAATCCGGATTTTCTCTGAAAGAACCAGTCATGCAGGGCAAATCCCAAGAGTCATTCAAGTTAGTCCTACCTACTTTTTAAAAAAATTATTGTTAGTAATGTCACATGTTTCTATAAAGTAATGAACTAGACTGCGAGCTTTCCTCTCAGTCCCAAATAAGGTACACCTCCAAGTCCTTGTATTTCTTCCCTCTCTTAACAGCAAACAATAGTGGTATTCGGCCATTGCCATTTGGTGAATGAGGATCAACATCTTCCTGCTCGAGAAGTAGCTTCATTACAGCTCTCCCTCTCCTCGTGGCAGCAAACGAGAGCGGTGTTCCACCATTGCCGTTGGGTAAATCAGGATCAACATCTTCTTACTCTAGAAGTATCTTCCTTACAGCTCTCCCTCTCCTCGCGGCAGCCAACAATAGCGGTATTCAGTTATTGCCCTCTCCTGAATCAGGATTGAGATTCTTCCACTCCTGAGGTAGCCTCCTACATCTTGGTCTCCTCTCAGTAGCAAACAATAGCAGGACCTTGCAGCCATTGCCCTTTCCAAATGTCTATTCCAGCAACAAATAAAAAGGGGCGTACCACCTGGGATGATGCAAAGGACAGAGTTCTAATTGATGAACTTCTCCATCAGGTTCAGATTGGCAGAAGAGCTGGGAATGGCTTCAAGCCTGAGGCATGGCAGGCAGTAACTACTGCTTACAATATGCGGTTTGCTTCAGTAGTTGATGTAGATCAGGTTAAGAGCAGAATGAAACGGGTAATTTGTTCCATTATTCATTGCATAAATCCATACTATTGCCTATCACTAATCAAAAAGAACTCCTTAGATGAAGCAACTTTATGAGATATTCCATCGTCTTTGTGAGAGTTCTGGATTTGGATGGAATGAAGACAGCAAAACTGTTACAGGTGCAGATGATGTATGGGATTCTTATCTCATGGTATGTAATTGAAACTTCTTTACATCTATATAGTATCTATTACAAATTGCCTCTTCTTGACCAATCTTGTTTATTATTTACTTTTATTTGAATTTATTTAATTAAACTAATAAAATCTTCCAATATAGGCTAATCCAGCAGCCAAGCAGTTCAGGACTAAGGCACTCAAGCATTATTCAATATTGCTTGAGCTATTTCAACAAACTACAGCAACTAGAGAATATGCTACTTCAACTCTAAGAAGTTATCAGAAGTGTCAACACTATCACCTGGAGAGCAGTAGCAGTGATGATGATCCTGATAACAGTGAAGATAATAGTTTAATCTTTCGTTCTCAACAGTCGAGTACGATTACCTTGGATGAGCTTTCCAATACGGAAAGAGATACTCAGTTTGTATCCGAACACACTGCCTCTTCCTCCACATTACCTACGATGAGAGTACTATCACCTACTTCATCCTCCTCATCCATTAACTATTCCAAGTACCAGAAATGCAAACAAGTAAGGAAATCCTCTAGCAATCTCGCAGCTAAGATAATTGCACAAGGCCTATCTCAATTGGCCGACTCAGTTCGCAATCCAACACCCACTCTATCATCCACTCAAATGGCACAAAATCTCTCCGCCACTGATGAAAGTCACAATTATTCTAGCTTTTCACCTCATGTTTCCAATACTTCAGTAGCATCTCAGACATCATATGCTCAGGTCTTACTATTACTCAATGATCTACTATCATCGGGGGATATTCTTATATCCCATTACCTAGCAGCCTCAGCATGTTTTGAATCAAATGAACAAAAGATCACATTCTTTTTACTTGCACCTAAAAATGTTCGGCTAGCTTGGCTACAATCATTACTCGATAATACTTCATGTTTGTAATATATGTATTTTTAGTACTCAATTGATTCAACTATAATCTCCCTCTCACCAGTATCATATATAGATATTCCAAATAAATAGTTATTTGAACTATATCTCTGGCATTATGTCTTTGATAATCCCTCACATTGCTCTTGCAATTTGAGATCTTAGCCTGTTTGCCTATCTTTTTTCTCGTCTCAGCTGGGACGACTCCGGCTGTTGTTCCAAATTCGCAAGTTCAGGTTCTTCAGGTGGCTGAACTGCTGATACTGAATGATTGAAAGTTCTGATAACTCCTAGGTCTTCTTGGCTGGATTGTATTGAACTCCCTGCTTCTATTCTCCCCATTGTATTATTAGTACTATAGCCATAAATATATAACTTTATCAACTGAAATTATATATTTTCTGCAAAAACAAGTAAGAAATATACAATCATACCTGAATTTGATGAATTTAGGTCTTCAACCTGCAGTAAATGCTGCATAGTATTCCCATCATAATGGGAAATGAAATTATGAAGGCAACATAATACCTTTACAAGCTCCACTTGCATACTCATATCAAAGGATATAGATATCTTTAGAATAGGAAACCGCATTTTCAAGATACCTAGAGATCTTTCCACAGCATTTCTCAAAGAAGAATACCTCAAATTGAACAACTTCTTTACATTTTGTGGCCTAGTAGTATGAAAATTATGAAGTTAATATTGACATGTTCTATCTCACTTATAAAATACCCAATTCATCAATTTTAAGATGAAATACATACCCCTGATTTCCTTGTCTGAACTCCTTGAGATGATATCTTACATTACGATATGGAACAACTAGAGAGGTTGATCCACCATATCCTCTGTCTCTTAGATAATACTTTCCTTTTGGAATTTGGTAGCTCTGCTTGTTAGCATCATCCAATATCCTCGAGTCATGGGCCGACCCCTCCTATCCACTTAAAACATATTGAAAGGTGAGATTAAAGGACACTGCTACAAATATGTTTTGGGCAGTAAAGCCTTTTCAACAACAGTATTTACCTGCATCATTAGCTGTGACAGTTGCTGGAACCAAAGAGCCATCAACAGCCCCAAGGCAATCTTTAAAGTAGGGATAAAATTTTGGATTGCTGGTGATTTCCCTTGGTATATCCAAGCTGTCATCTACTCTTGTAGCTGGTAGTCTTATTGTTAGGGGGTAGGTAACTCTAAAGTCAAGCGAGTATACACTAGGCCCTGTAGTCTTCTGTCTCGGAGATAGTCAAGAAGGCTCGTAAAGATAGAAGTAAAGTAGAACGAATATATTGATAACATCTCTTCTCCGGTCGCTGATGCTAGACTTAAAGCTTAGGGTTATTTTTTTTTTTTTTTTTTTTACGTTAACTTCATTTGATTTATTTGTTTCAGGGTTACAAAAACG